AAAAACAGATCTAAAATACAAACAAAAACTGGAAAGGATATACTTGTTGATGCTCTAAACCTTGTCAGAGCAATCCTTGTATCAATATTTGCATGTGTTTTAAAGTACAGGTCACAGCAAAAATAAAACGGTTTTACCCTATGGGGTGAGAATACCGCCAAAATTAGCTTTGTGTAATTATTTGAACACTGTTTAATTGTTTGGTCTTTATTTGGAAACTTGTTTGGTTATTATTTAGTAATTATTCAGTTATTTGGTCTTTATTCAAACATTATTTTGCGCTTATTCCATTATAGTTTTATTGTGCTATTATATTGTTTTATAATTTCAACTTTTTTATTTCAGTATTGTGTAATTGCTACAATTTTATTTTGTCATCGTTTCATTAATTTACAATTGTGTCGCTATTTAGACATTATCTTGTCAAGATTTGTTTATTTTCACGGGAGGCCCCGGGCTGTGTTTAGTGGGTCCGCACAACTTTTGGGTGGAACATGCCAGTTTCTGTGGACTCTAGACTTGCATCCAGTCTCTTTTTAATTTCCAATAAAATGAAATATTAGCGGAGTATATACGAGGCGAAAGCCGGGTTATCGCGAAAGCCAGTCGCCATTTTCACACTCCCGTAATTTATTTATTGGAAAAACATAAAAAAATAAACAAGAGACTGTATGCAAGTTTATGCGGCCTTGTGTTCGCCTACGTGAGCAGAATTAGAAGCTAGATTATTCAAAAATCCCGTTTGCATTTGTGTATTGTTTCTTTTGTTCTTTTTTAAAGATCAGACATATTGATTGTGCTTTCCTTTGTTTATAGCCTGTGCATCGGCGGCAGACGACTACAATCGTCTTTTCCAATTGAAATATTCATTATTCCCTTTTGATTTAAATCAATTTATTGTCTATTTGCTAACAGTGGTCCATACTTCAAAATACCGGTATTTAGCACATTGCAGTACGCAAGAATTGTATTATTGGATTTATTTTTAATAAAAACAAAAAATGCCGACGGATGCTGGGTTATTTTTTCGCGTCAGAACTGAAGCTGTGTGTTTGCTGATTAATAAAATGGCCACTGCTGAGCTAAGTGAATTGGGGGAGGGGGGCACTCATTGTCTGACCTGTCTGTCTTCTACCTCCATGCTTCAACTGATTATTCTATCAAGTCCAATACTGGCCTCATGATGATTGATTCACGTCAACTTGAAGAATTGTCAGCAATGACTTGCGCATGCGCATTTCAGTTCATTATTTAATTAATGTCTATCCGTATATACTTTTATCTCCATGGTTAGACCTACTGTTTCTTATTGAGACCTGCTACCAACATGTAGCATGCATCTGTTCAATTTATCCTTATTTCATCGCCCCATATGTGGCATATTTTCAGTTTATCGTCTACTTCGACAACAAGGCGAATATGAAAGAAACTGTTTTCACCAATGAGTGTTCTTTATATGCATCACATGACTGTGGGATATATGAAAGGTACCTAATAGTTTGCTACAATACAGGTTGTTTTGTCATGATGATGAGTGTTGTTCCATATAAGACTGTTGTTTAAATGTTTATGGATCGACAAAGTAAAAAAAAAAACGCAATGCTGTTGCATAAGTCAGGTCTCGTATTTAATTATGTTTCAAATACTAGGCATACGCATTGTCGTGGTTTTCTGAAACAGAATGTTCACGAGTCGGCCATCGTGACATATAACACAAAATGGCGCACATGCGTCACCTATCAGCCAATGCAAATTAGAGAAAATGGAGTGCTTACCTCTTCCCACGACTGAATATTTCAGAAATTGAAGAATTGACTATCCGTGCAACCAAAGATGTGATTGAGGAACAAGTGGACATTGGAATAGACATTGTCACAGATGGGGAGGTCAGAAGAGAAAATTATTTGTTCCACGCATGGTGAGTATGTCTTAACTGGATTTTCTATTTTACCGAGGTCTCACAGTCATGTCAAGTTCAATTTCGAATCGTAACTTTGCTTTTGTTAAAAAAAAAATACGAAAAAATGCCTATAGATCATTGACAATACAATAGAATATCGACCATGCCAAATACAAAATCGAATATTCCGTGGTCAAGTTTACTAATTTTCGTGGTAACGGAAGTCCGTTTTTGATGATGTCTCACATACTTTCATCTCTACAGTATGATGGTATATACCTCGAACCTCAGACTACTAATAGTCTGAGCTCAAACACAAATCGAAATAAGCACGACAAGAATTACTATCACCGTGACTGTGTATTCAGTAATATCTTGTTGTTTGTTTTCTAGTCGTCGTATTAAAGGATTCAATTTCAATATGCTCACTGAGACTTCCACGCGTAATGGAGCTTGGACAGCCAAACTACCAACTATCACAGGCAAGATTGGTAAGTATGTGTTTATTGTTACTTTACTCCACTACACTTTCACTGTGTTACCATTTGCAGCGAGTTCTCGCGTGACTCGGAAAACGAGAGCGACACAGGCCATACATATTCTAAAGTTTAGAGTAGGTTTATATACATCGCAAGACTGATCGTCTGTCAATAAATAATGGGTTTTGAACGGTAAGCCAGGACCGACTTTCAGACTTACTCATTTCATGAAGATATAATTAGTTCTTTATTTATGGCGAATATTTTTGTTATTTTTGATTTAAAAAAAAAATATATTTTCAATCTTTTCTTGAAACTACCATTGTTTCTTGACATGTATCTTGGGCGGACATCTGTCGACGTTGTGCAACTTTTGACGGTATTTCCAATATGTTTGTTATTTTTGGTAAACCATTACATTTTGCATTTTTTTTGAAAACTACTTTTCCGATTAATACCTTTTTAAGGTGGTATGATTTCATTGAATATTTGGCTTCTTTGTTGCCTTAGCAATTGATGTGAGCCATATTTGAGATAGACATTTAGATTGCCGTGTTCTTAACCAGAATCAAACTACTTTCCTGTTTGCGTGTTATATATTGTCTTTTAAGTGTGTATTATTTGCGTTAACAGCGGAGCTCGTTTGACCGTCAGGTCGCTTGTATCGACGAATCGTCGTTCCTGAAGTGCTACTAACCCTTACAACTTATTGCCCCTTCTGCTTCATTTAAAAAATTCATAATTGACCGATATATTTGTATATTTGAACCCATTATCTACACTTTTTTATTATAAACACTTGACTTGTTAAGCCAGTGAGCTAATTAAAACGTATAATCAAATTCTTATCAAATTGATGAACTTAAATAATTAAACGCACTATTTTGTTTCAAATGCGTCCAAATTAAACCTGGTGGTTTTGTATTTTGACATATCCCGATCTTGCGACGAGTTGTTATTGTTGCTATGTTCCGATAGCTACGGTAATAACGCTGCATGGATGGCATGTCCACACTCCGTGCTCACAGACAGATCATCGACTTGCATTTAGTTGCGATGGGGGATGACGTTTGTGAATAGGCGCGAGGGAAGTTCCCGGTACAGAGTGTAATATTCACGTGTTGAATTGTTAATATAGCGTTTGATACTCACACAGAGCTCATGGATGGAAATACGTGGGCGGCTGAAGAATGGAGAGGTGCCCAGGTAATCAAACCCGACTGAACCACGGTCGATATTCTGTGGCCAGCAAATATAATTGCCAACTGAAGGGAACATTTAGAAATTTTTATAACATTTACAATGATATTTTCACAAGTTTCAAATGTTTTATTAACTCTTTTAATTTAAATTACTGAAAGTATGTTACCAAAGATGTGATTTATTCAGTGTACTTCCTTTGATTGCAGTCAAAATGTCGAATAATAGTGGCTCGCGTAGCCTTACTCGATGATTGAATAATATTCCCATAGATAACGTAAACACTCGATAACAGTTTTGTTTCTCCGCGTATCGCCATTGAGTCGCGTACCAACTATTTTTCAACAATGGTTTGTTTCTCTATTTTTTTTTAAATTAAAGCGCGGTGGTCGTCGCGCAGCGCGTGTTCGAATTTCATGTAAATAAACAATGTATTTTACACGCGTTGTATACGTTGCTATGAGTCATATATCGAACAGGACGCGGCACGACGACTGCCGCCCTTTAAATAGTAAACAGTAATTAATTGTCTCAAAAAGAAGCTGCATAAAATCATACTGATGCTGGCACGTTAGAAAAATTTTAATAGGCTTAGTTATTCCGCCATCTCAATTATAATCCCGGCACTTCCCATTATTGAAACGTCGCGTTCTCATTGGTCAATCTGTACCACGTGTGGCCTTTTATCAGACTATGGACGAACAAGAATGATCTGAAAATCAATAATATCAAATGTTTGCAATATATATACGGATTCTATATACAACAAACTCATAAACTTACGACATCGAATCCCCTGGTCGTTTTCATTTGGAATATCACTAAGTGTGTTTTCGCATGTCGTCTACTGGAAGATGTTTTACACATAAACTGGAATACAAACGTCTACGACGCCTTACCACCTTGTGGATTTCTGCATACATTCTTTTATACTTACCACTATCATAATTAGAGGTTCTTATTACGTCATAGCTTCACATTATCGCAAGATAATATAAACCTCGATTTGCAAGTTAATTAATATTAAGGAAAAAAAACGCATTCAACTAAATTTTGATTAATTCTGATGTTGGTGATTCATAAAAACAATAAAGAATCTCCTACAACGTCATATTGGATTTGAAGAAAGGTCTAGACGCCATCACGCATTAGACCTTTTAGGCCTTTCTCCCTCACGCATAATGAATCTCCAGGACACAGATGGGCATGCTCGCCTAAATAATGGGCTCGACTGCGTGTCGCCCATTATTGCACACGTTCCGGTCACTGCTCTGCTATCCCATAATAATCGTCTGCGTGTCATCATTTATCCCCCAAATCGCGTGGTTTTCGCGAAAATCTTCTCGTATCATGTTTAGTCATAGACAGTATACTGTCTATGGTTTAATTAATTAGTTTGAAGTAACATCCTGCCATTCCTTATAATTACAGTACATAACCACGTACTTTGTTACACTTTCTAATTGTAATGATAAACATAGGCTTATGTTAAAAAGAAGAAGTCCAGGGAAACAAGTCAATGCTTCCAGATGAAAAAGCTAAATATACTAATAGTAGAATGCAATCAATAATTTTATATCACTTTTCATTCTTGAGATATTCAACCTTTCGTTCTTATGTAGTCCACCATCTCGATTCTCCAGTGAAGGGTTACGGGCAAAGTATGACATTATAGCGACTGTTGTGAACAAACATACACATAAAATGGTTGTCATGGCAACAAAACTAGAAATGGTAATAGAAAATAGAAAGAAAAAAACATTTTTCTACCAAATGCTCAATCCTGCGCACATTTTATACAATTTATCGATGAGAGGTTACATATGCAGCCCGCAAATATGGGACAAAAAGTTTCAATTTATTTTCAACAACCAAAATTAGAAGGATTTTTATTTATTTAAACTGTTTGGAATTATCTTTACGTTTTGCGTATTTGTGACATTCAAATTATTAAATACACGAGTAATGTGCACACTGAATATTAGAACTAATTCGCGTCACAACAGTGGCTATGATGTCGACTACATGATATTTATGTGAAGCGATTTACAAAATTATGGAGCTCTTTCATTTGAAACTCTCAGCCCCTATTTAAGTGTAGTTTGTGAAACCTGTCCAAATTAGAGGATTCACATATAATGAACATTGGGTTTTTTTTTTCAAATACCTGTACACAAATTACTCTGGAAGATGTATACACCAATTTCAATATCTAATGGTTTTAATTGCTTTGAGTGGAGCTTGTTCTCGCAACCATCACTGCCAAATTTGACACAGAAAATATATTCCATCACATTTGTTTAAAAAATATTTACTTTTACATTTATATAATCTCTGTATTACGAGTAGAATCAACATTTTAGTGCAGAATGTTATTTTGAAGAAATTATGTTAGGTAAATTCAAAAAGATGCTTGCTTTTCATTTGGCACCGCAGATTGATTGGCCATTGTCAGTGAACTCCGATACTCGGTGATTAATCGGTTTTCAACTGTCATTTTTAATAACACAACAAGTTTAAGAATTATATATCACAGGGTGTGTGAGGGAAACAATCTCAAATTTCCAATTGATTGAAATAAACAAATAAATATCGTTATTTGTTTGCATTGTACACACTATTAGCGAAGCAAATAACATTAAAATGTGAGGATTTAGACAATGAATTTGTGTTTATTTTTCTCTAGAATTTGACAGACACTCCCGTTAAATTCACGATTCCTGGTCCCGCAACTTTAATTGGGTCAACCCACAGTAAGTATAAACTTTAATATAGTAAATTGTATTTTTAATTTCATCACAGAACTAAATATATTTGAATTTTCTACAATTATATTATTTTTTTTTTAATTTGTATTTTTTAACATTTTTTTACTCAGATGCATTTTATGATGATAAACGGACGTTGAGTGAAGATCTGGTAAAAGTAATAAACTACCAAATACGTGCGCTAGCTAAAGCAGGTAGGTAGAAACACTACCAACACTACCAACTGAAGTCAATACTGTATTCACACCTGGAGCACTTTAGCTGGCAGGGTGAGTCTCGATTAGCTATATTCAAGACGTCACGGTAGTAGACTCACGCGGGAATTTAATCCTTTAAAGCGAACAAAAAAACCTTTTGAAAAAACAAACAGCTGCCAGTTGCCAATTCTCCAGTTATTCATTCAACATTCTCTAATACGTTCGTGTTATTAGTATACGGGATCATGTAATGAAGGTAATATGGGGCTAACTCAAAAAAATGGCCGCCACCGAATTACGAAAAAAACAGGAATTGATTAGGCATGCTTTAAAAAATATCAGTGAGCGCATATATACACTTTCACAGTAACAAAAGATTTTCAATTTGTCTATAAAATGTTATTCAATTGTTTTTTGGTTATAAATACTGTGTATTATATGTTTATTTCATCAGAAAAAAATTAAAATGCAAGTAGTTATGTGGATGATAAAAAAAATCAAAAAAATCTGATGAGGACTGTGAAAATAGTTCTACTGAACTAATCTAGTCCACAACCCTGTCATTCCAGTAAACTTATGTGTAAAGGTCATTGACAGACAGAAACTATTTATATTTCTAAATCTGTACTAGGAAACAAAATAGATGAAAATACAATTCATCAACTGTTTATTCAAAACAATTAAGCAAGCAACCAGTTGATATAATAATTAATTAACCTGTTATGAAACAATTAAACGAATCAAACAGCTAATCAAACAAAAATAATAAATATAATGATGTAAAACATGTTTAAATAGCTACATGTCATTTTAGCGAGTTTGACTCCATGTATAAATTAACTGAATCATAATTTAGCTAAAGTGTCAACAATCTCATTGTGAGAATATACTTTATTTTAAATTAGTGACATCTTGAATTAGCTAATTAAATTACAGATTAGTTAAATTAGCTAAAATAACATGCTAGCTAAAAAGACTTGTTTTAAAGTAATATTTACAATGATTGTAAAAGCCAGCTCAAAAAATGCCCACTACGTTTTGTGTTTTTTTTCGTGCGGCACAGTTTGTTTGCATTTATACATGTATTTCGACTCGTTCGAGACTATCGCGAGTTGAAGTTATTTTAGTAATGTCATCTCTATGAATAATTGCGTGTGTTACGTGTACATACCACATAAAACCATCGTGATACCAGTGGAACTCGCCGCTCTAATATTACCTTTTTCACATTTTGTCTGTCGTGTATCAAGGAACTTACTATACAGTGACGTAAAGGTGTCTATCCTTGGCAAACACAGACATGTGACAAATTGCTCACTGGCGACGAGATACCTTCATGATTTACTGACTCTGTTATTCACAGGTTGCCGACATATTCAGTTGGACGAACCTGTTTTTGCAAGATTCCCTGATACTGCATTGAATTATGGGATAGAACATGCGGAACGGTGTTTTGATGGTATCGGTTTGGAAGTTGAAAAGACGGTTCACATATGCTGTGGTTATCCCTGCTATCTTGTAAGTCTGCCATCAAACTTTCAAACACGCGGCGGATGCATCTATCTCGTCGGCTCTGCGATATAGATACTAGGACGAACCTCTTCACATCAAATGTATTTTATTTCCCCAGTCCACATACAATAGTCCTATTGTAAATGTAACGACCAAAAATCATTATTTTTCATTTGATTACATTATTAATTTCGGGAAAATGTTTGGATGGGTTCAGATCATTTGTTTACTAGTACTTCGATGACAGAAATAATTTGAGTGATTGTGACGTCATGGAACAAACGTATATGCAAATGTGACTAATTACAGACACTATGTTGCTGCTCTGGTGACTAATGTTTCCATGACACAAGAAAATTTTAAATAAACATTTCTTTTCTGTGAGTAGGACCAACAAGATTACCAGAAAGCTGACCAAGAAGCGTACTTCAAGATTATTGATAAGTTAGACAGCGCTGGGTTTGATGCAAGTAAGTTGGCAAATGGCCGTCGAGATCTTGTTGGTAGCGAGAAGGCCACGAGATTTATTTTTCCCCTTTAAATAGTGTGTCATATACATATTGGTGGCCATTTGCATTTAATGAGACTTATATTTGTATGGACTTTGTTGGGCATGGAAAACACAATACACCCAGGAAGTGTCTTTCCCCAAGAAATCCTCTCTCTTATCGTAGAAATATCTTGGACATTTATTGATTCGTACCTTGTATATTTTCTTACAGTTTCTCTCGAGGACGCACACCGCTATAACGATCTGAGACTCCTTGATCGAATCAAGAAATCCAAAGTTGTCTTAGGCGCTGTTACCATAGCAAACAGTCGCGTGGAAACTGTCGAGGAGATACGTAATCGATTAGAGGAAGTGTTACGTCACATTCCCGCTAGCCGTCTGATGGTTTCACCAGACTGTGGCCTGGGGTTTCTACCGCCCCCTATTCTTAAGGAAAAACTTGCTAACATGGTAGCTGCAGCAAAATCTATCCAGTGTGACCCAGAAGTGATATGCTGAAAAGCAAAAACTCACAACACGCATGCCACGTTGACGAACAGTTATAGCATAACATGAATGTATGTAAAAATATGATCGACATGTGTTTCCGGTTGTCAATATCATTAGTATCTCACACGGCGTGATTGCTTTTATTTTTGAACTCAATATACTGACTATATTTGTTGCTGGTACATCGTGGTAATGGTGGTGACGTTCATGGCTTGTGTGTTTATTAATCTATTTGTGCTGACACGTGGAAACAAATAGAACATTGTGTTGTCTATTAAAAATGGGTTTAGATTTTGCCCACAGATTACATAACACGCGTGTCATTTAAGTTTTAGATGTACGATTTTGCCGTGTCACAGAACTGAAACGACTATCACTATATACAGAATATTGGAGTGGGATATGGCACGCGTCTTATCTTTGACAGTAAAATCTCACATATTGAGCGTTAATATTACAGGTGTTTCAACTATTAATTTACGCACAAACGAAATGTTTTATATTTGTTTTTAACAAAATGTTATATTGTTTTTTCCAATGTTACCGTATAAAGATGTTCTCACTCGTTGTATAGTGTGTTTAAAAAATACCCTTTACATCTTTGCATTAAGGTATAGATGCATTTTCTTTTGCAAATTTTGACAAATTTCACTTTTTTTATTTTTTATGGCATTGTATGAACATCTGTATTCTGTGAAAATTTAAAATTAAAATCATTATTAGTGGAACTCAGTTAAATTTGCTTCTAAAAATGATAAGTGAACGCACGTGGCAGTGTTCTTGTTTTAATTGGCGCATTTGCATAATTTAACGCAACCGGTTGCAGATCTGCAGTTGATTGACAGGGCACATGCAAATTACTGATCAGGGGTCAAACTCATCATCTGACACATGCTCAGTTAAAGACGAACTTTTTAAACGTGGTCGTCTGACGCAAGCTCAGTTAATCTCGAAAAATTCCAAACGCGACCAACTAGAGTTGACATCAACGGAATACAACCAAGTATTATTTGAAATCATGCGAGAAGTAAAGAGAAAGCGAGGACGGAATAAGACTCTGGGTCACGTTCAGCAAAACGAGGCTATGTAGCGGTCCAACGGAACGCCCTTGTTTACTAATTAATGATGTGAGGTCATGTATTCCCTGAAACTTTCAGTACTCACGAGGAAATGACGCGTTTTTAGCTCCGCTGTCGACTTTGTCGAGCGGAGCTTATCATATGAGTGATTGTCCATCGTCGTCGTCGTCCGTCGTCCGTCGTCCGTGTCAATGTTTTACTTTTTCGACTTCTTCTTGAAAACTACAAGCCTAAATGCTTTGATACTTGGTGTATATGTACCTTGGGTAGACCTCTCTTAGGTTTGTTCATTTCATGTTGATATCTTTAATTCTCTAATTTTGGTGAATATTTTTGTCATTTTTGGTAAAAACTGATATTTTCGACTTCTTGTTAAAAACCGCAAGTGCAATTGCTTTGATATTACATCTATAGGTACTACATGTGGACCTCTCTCAGATTTGTTAATTTTGTAATGATATCTTTAATTCTTTAATTTTGGTGAATATTTTTGTCATTTTTGGTAAAAACTGATATTTTCGACTTCTTGTTAAAAACCGCAAGTGCAATTGCTTTGATATTATATATATAGGTACTACATGTGGACCTCTCTCAGATTTATTCATTTTGTAATGATATCTTTAATTCTCTAATTTTGGTGAATATTTTTGTCATTTTTGGTAAAAACTGATATTTTCGACTTCTTGTTAAAAACCGCAAGTGCAAATGCTTTGATATTACATATATAGGTACTACATGTGGACCTCTCTCAGATTGTTCATTTTGTAATGATATCTTTAATTCTCTAATTTTGGTGAATATTTTTG